TATAGTTATGTCCTCCTGGTGTATTGACCCTTTAATCATTATATAGTGTCCTTCCTTATCCTTTGTGGTGGATTTTACTTTAAAGTCTGTTTTGTGAGAGCTTAATATTGCCACTCGTGCTCTTTTTTGAGTGTTATTGGCTTGATATATTTTTTTCCATCCTTTGAGTTTTAGTTTGTTTGTGTCTTTAAGTCTAAGGTGTGTCTCTTGTAGGCAGCATATAGATGGAATCATGTTTTTTTATCCAGTCTACCACTCTGTCTCTTTATTGGTGCATTTATTCCATTTACATTCAGTGTAATTATTGATAGGTATGAGTTTAGTGCTGTTAATTTGATGTCTTTTTTTGTGTCATTCACAGTTTCTTTGTCCAATTAATTTTCTGTGCTGAGTCGTTTTTCTTTTTGTATTTTCTTTTCATTGTTGTTGATTTTGTGTTTGCTGAGTCTTTATATTTTTAGCTTTTCATTTTGACTTGTAGGATTATTAGTTTCCTGTGTGGTTACCTTAATATTTACCCCTATTTTTCTAAGTTTATACCAGTCTTTTATTTCTTTATATCGCCTTGACTTCATCTCCATATGAAAAATCTATGTCTACATTTTTTGAGTCCCTCTTTTTTGTTTTAATGTTGTCATATTTTACGTATTGACATCTGTTTCCCTAATTTCAGTGTTTTAGCTTTGATTTACTTTCGTGTCTTCCCTGTCTGGGTTGATATCTGGTTGCTCTGTCCTGTGTTCTGGTCTTGGGTTGTTATCTGATGTTACTGATTTTCTAACTGGAGGACTCCCTTTAGTATTTTGTGTAATTTTGTTTGGTTTTTGCAAATTCCTGAAATTTCTGTTTATATGGAAATGCCCTAATTTCGCCATCATATTTGAGACACAGTTTTGCTGGATATATAATTCTTTGCTGGCAGTTTCTTTTCTGTCAAGAATTTATATATGTCATCCCATTGCCTTCTTGCCTGCATGGTTTCTGTTGGGTACTCCAAGCTTATTCTTATTGACTCTCCTTTGTAGATGACTTTTTGTTTATCCCTAACCACTCTTGAAATTCTCTCTGTATCTTTGGTTTTGGCAAGTTTGATTATAATATGTCTTGGTGACTTTCTTTTGGGATCTAACTTATGTGAGGTTCAATGAGCATCTTGGATAGCTATCTTGTCATCTTTCACGATATCAGGGAAGTTTTCTGCCAACAAATCTTCAAAAATTCTCTCTGTATTTTCTATTATACCCCTGTTCTGGTACTCCAATCACTCGTAGGTTATTCCTCTTGATAGAGTCCCACATAATTCTTAGGGTTTCTTCATTTTTTTAAATCCTTTTGTCTGATTTTTCCTCAAAAAAGTTGGTGTCAAGTGGTTTATCTTCAATCTCACTAATTCTGTCTTCCATTGCCTCAATTCTGCTCCTATGACTTTCTACCGAGTTGTCTAATTCTGAAATTTCAGTGTTAATCTTCTGGATTTCTCATTGCTGTCTCTCTGTGGATTCTTGCAGCCTGTTAAATTTGTCATTATGCTCGTCTTTAATCTTTTTAATTTCCTCTATTGTGTGTTCTGCATTTTACTTAATTTCCTTCCTAATTTATTGAAAAGTTCTCTATATTAATCTTTTGTATTCTGCCTCCGGTAATTCCAAGAAATTTTCCTCCTCTGGAAAATTTCTAGATTCTTTATTTTGGGAGCTTGCTGAAGCCATCATGGATTGCCTCTTTATGTGATTT